TTTTAAATTATTATTATTATTATTATTATTTGTTAATGAAAAAGTACCACTAAATTTTTATTTTTATTTTTAAAAAAAAAAGACCTTTTAACTTGCATAACCTGTTAAAATAAATTAAAAAATATAAGTTAGAATTGTTCATCAATCTTAAGCACTTGACCACTGCATATACGTATTATATAATCAAGAAAATGGCGTGTACACCCATTGTATAAAATTTTCATAATATTGACAGCAATCAACGAAAACTAGTTTTCCGAAAATAAAATAAAATAAAATAGCAATCAACGAACATTCATGTACTGTCGTATTGACGAGGAAGTTAAGTGTAATTTTTATTTGTATTTTTTACTTTTTTTGTTAACGTTAGATGAAATTTCAGCTGAATTAAGGAAATATAGAAGAAAAATCAGAGCTAGTCAAGGAAGATTCGATTCAGTTTAGTCCGTATACATCGGACTAGCAACTTCCACCATACATTTTTTTTTTTTTGAAAATTCTCATAACAAAGTGCCAGTTTCCAAAGACATCATTGAAAGCACATAATGGACCGATCTTTCTAGAAGTTCAAATTTGTTGACCCACACCTTGGAATGAAATAATTTGGGTATTATTAAGATGCATCTAAATTCATTACAGGAAGTGATTTTTTTTTTTTCTTTTTAAATATTATTGATTGGTCAAATTTACAACATAAAAAAAGAAAAAATAATAAAAGATACAATTTCCTTACATTTGCATTCATAATCAATCAAAATTGTCTAACTCATCCCCCGAGATGGTTAATATATAAACTTTTTATAATGGAGGGTGATTTATGCCATTAATCTAAGAACGATACTTAAGTCCTCATTAGTGAGGGTTTACACCATCCTCACTAGTGATGTGAATCAATAATAAATCACTACCTCTGTGATTTGATTGTGATTTGGTAAGTGAATTTTACCTACCATATTAAATTTAGTAATTAAAGATAGCATGTCTATTTATTATTGGCCCACATCACTAGTGAGGATGGTGTAGATCCTCCCTAGTGACCTAATTGAGTCTATTACTTTTCTTTTCTTTTTTTTATTTTTTTTCCTTTTTTTTTTTTTTTTTTTTTTTTTTTTCAAGTTTCAATGCTTCGACTCAGATTAAACTTGACAAAAGAAGATTCTTCCAATTTTTTATATTTTAGTGTTTTTATCTGCAAATCACCTTTGGAATCACCCCTTAAGAGTTCACCCATGGTATCGAAATAAAAATAAAAATAAAAATAAAAAAATAAAATTGTTTCACCCATGTGGAATTTGTTAGAAATTAAATTTGATTATATTTTTAAATATTTTTTATTTGATGTTTAATTTTATGTTTATGTGAGTTTTTATTGGAATTAGTGGAGGGCATGAGAGTTACAACTAGTAATGGTCATGTTAGTGGGTTAATGGGAGTTTTGCCTACTAAATATTATGTTAGTGGAGTGTTAATGTTTTATTTACATTTTTGTTTTGAAGCCTATATAAACCCATGTATTGTACATATTTTCAATCAAGTGAAATAAAAAGTATTTTTCTCCATTTTTATTCTCTTCTAAATAGTATAGTGTTGTGTGTGTAACTAGGCCACTATTTCCAACAAAGTGGTATCAGAGTTAGTTTGTGAGAGAGAGAAGAAATGGAAAACAATTCGGTTCTATTTCAAATGCCTCGATTCACCAAAGATAACTATGAAAATTGGTGTATCTGTATAAGGCAATTTTGGGAGCACAAGATGTGTGGGAAGTTGTTTCCAAAAGTTATGATGAGCCAGAAGATGAGGCAACTTTGTTTCAAGCCGAAAAAGATATTTTACAAACCATAAGAAAGAAGGACCAAAAGGCGGTGATGACCATCCATCAATGTTTGGATGATGGAATGCTACAAAAAGTTGCTAGTGCAGAAAATGCAAAGACACTATGGGAGATTCTTCAAAATTCCTTCCAAGGAGTTGATAAAGTGAAGAAGATTCGCCTCCAAACGTTACGGGGTGAATTTGAAGCATTGCATATGAAGAAATCTGAATCAATTTCAGATTATTTTTCGAGGGTCCTGGCTATTATAAATCAACTAAGGAGATATGGCAAAACCACCATGACTGATACAAGGGTCGTTGAAAAGATCCTTCGGTCGTTGGATTCCAAATTTAACTACATTGTTGTAGCCATTAAAGAGTCAAAGGATTTGAATTCCATGACTGTTGATCAACTCATGGGTTCATTGCAAGCTCATAAAGAAAATGTGGTGAAGAAACAAAAAGCTTTGGAGCAAGTGCTACAAACAAAGTTTTCGTTAAACGAAAGAGACAAAAAACATGGAGGAAATCAAAGGGGCTGAGGACGTGGAAATGCACATGGCCGAGGAAGAGGAAGATGCCGTGGAAGAGGAGAAAGAAGCGGTCAACACACAACCAACAATGAAGAAAAAGTCTATGACTCACAACAAATAAAAGGTTGTGGTAGAGGAAATTACTCAAGGTCATATGGAAGGAGGTATGAAAAGTCTCAAATTTAATGTTACAATTGTCAAAAGTATGGTCATTATGCTTCGGAATGTAAAAATGTTACTAATGATGTTGAAGAAAAGGCTAATTTTGTTGATGAAGAAGTGGAGCCTACTTTGTTGTTGGCATACAAAGGTGAAAGGAGTGATCAAGAAGATGTGTGGTATCTTGACACCGATGCTAGCAACCATATGTGTGGTAGCAAAGAGAAGTTCGTTGATATTGAAAAATCAATAAATAGCAAGGTGACATTTGAAGACTTATCACAAATTCCGATATGAGGGAAAGGTAAAGTATTGATTCGTTTGAAGAATGGACATCATCAATTTATCTCTAATGTTTATTTTGTGCCTAATATGAAGAATAATATTTTGAGTTTGGGACAACTCTTAAAAAAATGTTACAATATTTCGATGAAGGATTGTAGTCTTTCGATAAGAGACCCGTTGAGTAATTTGATTGCCAAGGTTCTAATGACTAAGAACTGAATGTTTTTGCTAAATATTCAAGCCGACGAGGCTAAATGTTTGAAGGCTTGTTTTAATGATTTAACTTGGCTTTAGCACTTGAGACTTGGGCACTTGAATTTTGGAGAATTAGAGTTGTTGGCCAAAAAGAATATGATGAAGGGATTGCCTTTCACTAGCAATCTAAATCAATTATGTGAAGGATGTCTCGTTAGAAAGCAATCAAGGAAAAGTTTTCCTAAAGAAGCTACCACAGGAGCTACAGCGCCACTACAATTTATCCATTCGGATGTTTGTGGTCCAATTTCTCTATCATCATTTGGTAAGAATAATTATTTTTTATTATTCATTGATAATTTTAGCTAAAAAATATAGGTATATTTTCTTAAACAAAAATCGAAGGTGTATGGAATTTTTAAGAAATTTAAAGCACTTATTGAAAAACAAAATGGCTATGATGTAAAGGCTCTTCGATCCAAAAGAGGTGGTGAATTTACATCAAATAATTTTAAAAAATTTGTGAAAAAAATGAAATTCACTGTCCTTTAATAGTTCCGAGATCGCCCTAACAAAATGGAGTTGTAGAAAGGAAGAACAGAACCATTCTCAATATGGCTTGAAGCATGTTGAAGAGCATGTTGAAAAGCAAGGAAATGCCTAAAGAATTTTAGGTTGAAGCGGTTGATTGTGCAGTGTACTTGTCCAACCGGTGTTCTACTAAAAGTGTGCAAAACAAAACACCACAAGAAATATGGAGCGGAAGAAAGCCAAGTATCTCTCATTTGCGGGTTTTTGGGAGCATTGCCCATGTGCACGTGGCGAATGAAAGGAGGACCAAGTTAGACAACAAAAGTGAAAAAAATGGTGTTCATTGGCTATAATGCAAATTCCAAAGGCTACAAGTTGTACAATCTAAGCAATGGAAAGATTATCATTAGTAGAGATGTTGAATTCGAAGAGGAAGCCAAATGGGATTGGAACACTCCAAATGAAGATTATAATAATTTTCCAATTTTGGAAAAGGAGCAAGAAAATGAAGGCATGGAGTAGCCCGTTTCTCCACCAACATCACCTCCACCACCATCAATTCAAGATCAATCAACTCCATCATCATCTAGTTCAAGTAACACACCACCACTTCGCATGAGGAGTCTTCGTGACATATATGACGAAACAGATAAGGTAACAGAAAGGTTATGTGATCTAATATTTTTTTGTCTCTTTACGGATTGTGAACCCGTAGGATTTGAAGAGGCGGCACAAGACAAAAAATGGAGAAATACTATGGATGAAGAAATTAAATCCATAGAGAAGAATGACACATGGGAGCTTGCTACACTTCCACAAGAGCAAAAGACAATTAGTGTCAAATGGGTGTATAAAGCAAAGAAGAATGCAAATGGTGAAGTTGAAAAATATAAAGCAAGATTGGTCGCCAAGGGGTACAACTAAAAGCCCGGAATTGACTATGATGAGGTATTTGCACTCGTAACTCGTTTGGAAACAATTAGATTATTAATTTCTTTGGCAGCCCAAAACAATTGGAGAATCCACCAAATGGATGTGAAATCGGCTTTCTTGAATGTGTTTCTTAAAGAAGAGGTGTATGTTCAACAACCCATGGGTTATGTTGTAAAGGGGTAAGAAAATAAAGTCTTGAAATTGAAGAAAGCTTTATATGGCTTGAAGCAAGCACCAAGGGCGTGGAATAAGCGAATTGACAAATATTTTCAAGACAATAATTTTTTAAAGTGCCCATATGAACATGTTCTATACTTCAAAGTAAGTGAGAATGGAGATATATTTTTTGTTTGCTTTTATGTGGATGATTTAATCTTCACAGGTAGCAATCCAAAAATGTTTGAAGATTTCAAGAAAGTTATGGCTCGAGAGTTTGAGATGACGGACATTGGCATTATGGCTTATTATCTTGGCATTGAGGTCAAGCAAATCAAGGATGGAATTTTCATTCACTAAGAAGGCTATACTAAGGAAATTCTCAAAAAATTCAAGATGGAAGATTGTAAATTGGTGAACACGCCCATGAAAGTTGGAATTAAATTGTCAAGAGAAAAAGATAGAGAGACGATGGATCCAACATTTTTCAAAAGTCTTGTTGGAAGCTTGAGATACTTAACATGCATAAGGCCGGACATATTATTTGCGGTTGGGCTTGTTAATCGGTTTATGGAAAGACCCACCATAACTCATTTCAAGGCGGCTAAGAGGATTCTTCGTTACATCAAAGGTACCCTTGATTTTGGGTTATTCTATTCATTTTCTAATGATTTCAAGTTTGTGGGTTATTATGATACCGATTGGGCCGGAGACTTGGATGATAGAAAAAGTACTTCGGGCTATTGTTTTTTCATGGGAAACACTGCTTTTACATGGTATTCAAAGAAGCAACCCATTGTCACCCTCTCAACTTGTGAAGCGTAATATGTTGTAGCCACTTTATATGCTTGTCAAACAATTTGGTTGAGGAATTTGTTGAAGAAATTACACATGCTACAAGAAGAGTCAACGGAGATTTTTGTGGACAACAAATCAGCAATTGCTTTGGCCAAGAATCTAGTGTTTCGTGAACGAAGCAAGCATATTGATACAAGATTTCATTTTAATAGAGAATGCATAACCAAGAAGGAGATAGAGTTCGAGTTCATCAAGTTACAAGATCAAATTGCGGATATTTTCACTAAGCCCCTCAAGTTTGCAGAATTTCACAAGTTAAGGAGTTTGCTTAGAGTTGAAAAAAAATCAAGTTTAAGGAAGGGTGTTAGAAATTAAATTTGATTATATTTTTAAATGTCTTTGAAGGTTATAGATAATTTTTATTTGATGTTTAATTTTATGTTCATGTGAATTTTTATTGGAGTTAGGGCATAAGATCGAGTTACAACTAGTAATGGTCATGTTAGTGGGTTTGTGGGAGTTTTACTTATTAAATGTTATATTAGTGGGGTGTTAATGTTTCATTTACATTTATGTTTTGAAGCCTATATAAACCATGTATTGTACCCATTTTCAATCAAGTGAAATAAAAATTATTTTCCTCCATTTTTATTCTCTTTCAAATAGTATAGTGTTGTGTGTGTAACTAGGCCACTATTTCCAACATGATTGTGATCACCCCCTTAGGAGTTCAAGGTTCTTGTTGGTTATACTTTCAGCCACTCCACCCCATTTTGAATCCAATTCAATACTGTTTTGTTCTTTGTTTTAATTCGAAAGGTTTGGTAATTTTTTTTTTTAATTACTTTTTGGTTAAGGGTTGGAGGAAATTTTAGTTGAATTAAGGTGACATATTCGAAAAATCATAACTGGTTGAGAAAGATGTGGAGAGATGATTTTAACTTTTAAATCATTGATATTTGGTGGACTAGTTAAATACAGACTATTAAATTGAAAAAATAATCTCACAAATATATATTAATATATTAATATATCATTGAATTAGTTTACTAAATATTAAATAGACCACAACTATCTAATAATTTGTCAAAGATTCGGCAGTTTCATCTATCTACATTGGTCTACTAACTTCCACCATACATTTTTCAATGAATAATGGAACTTCTAGAAAGTTCAAAGGTGTTGACTATATTAAACGCTTCCATTATATATAAAGAAATGCAGCCCCAAGAGAATACCACACCTTGGAATGAAATAATTTGGGTATTAAGATGCGTAAGAATTCATTAGAGGAAGTGATTTTTGGAGTTGCATTTGTTACTGTATTTGCTCTTCCACAACTGCAATATGAGAAAATAGATGGCAATCCAGTTCCAACCATCATCTTTAGGGACAAGCCTTCCTCCTTTACTGCATTTGTCTTGGCTCTCAATTTTGCCTTCACTGGTGCGGTAATGGCTATAACTCTACGCGGCAAGGGATATACGAGAATTGCTAGCCATTGTCGCGGTCTTGCTATTGTTTCCATAGGAACAGCAGTAGCAATACCCATGTGGGTTAGTTCCTAAACGGATGTGGTTGGTTGTTCAAACCATAAAATTCAAAGAATACATGCCCCTGTAACCACTGTTTTCTTTCTTTCTTTCTGTTTGTTTTTGTATATTTTTTTTTTTTTTTGGGTTTTGTTTCCTCTCTCTTGATAGGTGAAGGATGCCAGTCACGCCACTGTTTTAATAAGGTGTTCTTCCAATTCACTGGCTTCCATCAGCCGTAAAATAAAGTAGAACACTTGCTTGTTGTCGATGTAGTTGTTTATTTTATTATGTACAAAAAATATATATTTTTTGTTGTTCGTATTTTTTTCTGTGACTGGTGAAAGATCACTGCATCTAAGGGTCCAAAGACCCCGGCCCATTGGGTTGCTTGAGCACTTCCCTAGCCCGTGGAGGGCTCGCTTAACCCAGCCCTATAAGAGTTGGGACGGGCTTGCCGCTTGGGTAGAAATCTCTATCCGTGACCCTGCCCATTAGACTATCCACAAAAGCCTTTTTTTTTTTTTTTTTATAAGCGGCAAAATTAAAAATTAAAAATTGAAAATGTGAGAGAGAAAGCACAAAAGCAACAAAATGAAAATTTTGTTAAGAATGGGAACGCCTTCAGAGTGCTTGTACACTTGCATGCTATCATATCTGTGTGGGTAAAATGTTTTCAATATTGGTAGATTTTCTAAAGGTCAATATATACTGCGTAATATTAAAAATTTATTTTCATAAGCACTATAAAATGTGTTTTGAGTTATAAGAAACCTATATATTTATTTCTTCTATGTTAGGAGATACGTAATATTACTAATAATTAAAATACAAAAATTATAGTATTTTCATATTTTGAAAGAAATGCAACATGAGAAACCTAGATATTTATTTTAAATTCTCAAAAGAGACATTGTTAAATTATATATATATATGTATGTATGTATGTATGCGTGTGCATACGCTGTGAGATATATATTTTGTAATTGACTAATTTCGTTGTCAAAACAAGTCCGATCGAGTTGTAATTTTTCTATTCAAAATTTCAAGATTGAAGATCAGATGCGGATTTGTACAAGTTCAAGTGTTCATGATTTACTACACTCTGAAAAGATGAGAACAATGTTTTAGGAAGGTATGTGAGTGAATGTGAACACTTAAGAAGTTTTAGAAGGTTGAAGGAAACACAAGATTTTCTTCTATTCATTGGGAACCGGTAGGTAACTATAGTTCGAAGAAGAATTGGTCACTGTCACTTCTGAACCGGTAACCAAAGTGTGTCGGAATTCTTTCTGACTTTCTTGAACCGGTACAAGATTGGTAGCCACAATCTTGTACCGGTTCAAGAGCCTGAGTCAGTTTTGGTAACTTGATTTCCTATTCTGTTTTGAATCATTTTTAGTCCAGACTTCCTTCTAAATCCTATGCACAAATCCTACTTGTTTTACAAGTGTGTTTAGGTCTTCCAAACTTCTATATAATACCTCTTTCATTCATTATTGAGGTATGGATTTAAGGAATATCAATTCATTATTTTCAGAAAGCCTTTAGAGATATATTATTCAAAAAATCAAATCTAATTATTCTGAATTTATTTTTGAGATTACACACACATATATTCATGAGTGATTTAGTAGTGTTATTCTCTATCTCATCGGAATTGGAGCTTGATTGAAGATTCATAGATTTCGAAAAAAGCAGAATTTATTTCTTCTACATCGAGTTCAGGTCTTGAAAAACAAAAGTAAAAGTAATCACTCTTAAAGGGCCAAATCATTCGAAGAGTGTTGTTTGATCTACCTGCAGCCCTTCTGCAGAGATCAAAAATAAGCCTGAGGTTAAGTGCTATTGGATGGGACGTCGCAAAGCCAGAGGATTGTCAGCTATTGGTGTTTAGTAGAACGATAGGGTGTGAGTCCAAGTCAAAGTTCAGTGTACTTTGTTTCAAATATAATGGATCAGTTTACTTTGGACTGCACGGTCCACGAGGTTTTTCCGATGCAAACAATTGGTCTATTTTACCAATTGGAGTTTCCTCATTAAAAATCCTATTGTAATCTCTCCAACTCTATTTGCTTTACTTTTCAGTATTAATATTTGTGATTGTAGATGGTTAATTGATTAGATAATTTAATTAATCATAAATTGGACAAGTTGACCTATTAATCTCATCTAGATCATTAAAGGAATTAATCATAATTAAATCAACTAACAGCTTCCACACCCTGCATTTAAACTGTTTTCACATACGTTGTACACACACATCAATTATTTGAATGTCTCTTATATTTAAACATTTATAAAGTAAATAACGATAGAAAATGAATCAAATATAAAGTGGACAACACGATGGTAAACACTTGTTATTTTTATTTTTTTTACTATTGTAGGTTTGTTCTTAATTTTGCACACTTCTAATCATTTTTATTCAATCTTTGGTATATTTTGGTAATTATCATTCATAATAAATGTCACCTATAATTGTTTATAATTCAATGAATGAGAAATCATTGTGAATTCGAGGATTTGAAAATTGAATTCGAGAATTGAAAATATTGAATTCACAAATTGGAGGAGAATTCACTCTTAGAGTGCCAATTTGTGTACATAGCGTGAGAGTGACGCTCTTTTTACAGAATTGTTTGACTTAGGTCTTAACTCTTTATGTTATTGTTTAAATTCAAACTTCATAGCTACTATTCTCAGTAACTAAACTAGATTGCAACATAAGTTCCGCATGGTAATGGATTAAAAAAAAAAAAAAGAATAGACCTTTTAGGTCGTGGCCCATCGGAGGTAGTTGAAAAGTCAAAGCGTGTTTGTTTGGGCCTTGGTGGGTCTAATTTCCAAAACCACGGGCGCTAGCCTTTTATGCAACCATAACTGTATCTAACCATAATTTATTGAAAAACTTATATATACATGGACATATTTACTATCTTATTGAATCAAAGTCATGAGAGTTTGGACAAATGAATTTGATTAAAATGTTGATATGAATATGAAAAAACACGGTTTATTTTAAATTGATGCCCATATTACCCTTTTTACAGTTTTAAAAAATGATCTAACTCTCTGGTATAACTTTGTGCAAGTACCAATTATGTGCGCAAAAGTACCACGTTTGTGTATAGAAGTATCACTATTTGCATTTTTAGGTACCACTTTTTATGCATAAACCGGTGAGCTTAGGTTATTGTATAACAATAAAAAGGGTACTTTGGGTATCAGCTTAAAATGAACATTGCTTTTCATATCCACATCAATATTTTAGTTAAATTTATTTTTCAAAATTTCATCCTGACTTTGACTCAATAAAATAATAAATAACAGTCCAAAAGTCCATAACAATTAGCAATAGTCACTGAGGAAATTAATTTCTTGTCTTCCTCCATTACTGGAAGCTATATATGATCATCTGGGATGACATTTATGAACAAGAAAATTAATATCCTAACTAAGGTTGAAGGAGTATTCGATAATATACATAAAGGA